GAAGAAGTTCTTTACGCAAGTGGGCTCAAGTTCTTTCAGGAAGATGGATGCCCCAGAAACGGGTATGAAGTCTGGTTCTTCAGCTAAAGGCTGTGTCTGATTATCCTTTCCCTCCTTTTTTTTTTACTACCATGCATTGTTCAAAATGTCTATTTTTCTTTTGTGTACATGAAAATCTGTAGATAGTTCGGGGAACATGACATTGGCCAGTGGCAGAGAAGGACATGACGTCTTTATTTTTCCTTCCTTTCAGCTTTCACTTTCAGCAAAACGAGGTCTTATGTTAATGGTAGCAATGTGGGCAGAACATTATTCCTTTGCGGAACTAAAGGGATAGAATGGAATGTACAGTACATCCAATGTTGCTCAGTACGCCAGACTGTTCAAGGCGGTGTCTTTTTGGGGGGAGTCTCTGGCTAAACGGTCACAACAAAGCATTATCTTTCAGTCTGTATTTAAATAGTGCTTGTCGGAGTCTTTGTGCTGCATAAAGTCCAGACTTTCATCAACAGATGTATGAGGAGAATCCTAAGAATGACGTGGCAGGATAAAATAAGAAATGAAGAGCTGTGGGAAAGGACAGGACAAAAAGATATTGAAGTAGAAATAGGAGTAAGAAAGTGGCGTTGGATGGGACACACCTTCAGAAAGCCCAGCGGAAACATCACAAGACAGTCACTACAATGGAACCCACAGGGAGCACGAGGCAGGGGCAGGCCACGGGAAACATTGAGGAGATGCGTGGAAAGGGACATAAGAGAGATGAAGCTCACTTTTAACGAGCTAGGACAGAGATAAATGGAAGGAGCTTGTATGTGGCCTGTACCCTGCCAGGGGTGGAAGGCACTGATAATGATGATGATGATGATGATGATGATGATGATGATGATGATGATGATGATGATGATGATGATGATGATGATGATGATGTCGGAGTCTTGCGTCCAGCCCTTGCTGATAAGAAACGTGAACCACAAACGTCAAGTCACAGTTTGGACCCGAATGTAACCAATGGATTTTGTTTGTTTGTTTGTTTTGATTTGTTTTGGAAGGGTTTTTTGGTAAAAAAAAACAAACTGATAATATATCTCAATGTGTATACTGGTGTAGGTCGAAGGGCCCCGACGTCAAAATGACTTTGCCTATAATACAAACAATGTACTGTTAATACGTGATCAGATGTTGCTAAAAAAGTAAGTAAATAAATAAATAAATAAATAAATAAATAAATAAATAAATAAATAAATAAATAAATAGCATTTGTATAGCGCATGTCTCCAATCGAAAGCAAGCTCTATGCCCTTCACACTCTATTATTACCCCAGCAGACCATAGAACGCTCAGAAACATTCTCAGCTTCCAGGGAAGCATGATGTGCAAGCAGCTGGTTAAGCGCTCAAACACTAACAAGTACATTAAAAAAGAACACAATCTAAAATTGCTCACCAGTCATCATCATCATCCAGTGCCAGATCTGCGACAGACTTCGGCCATCATGGTTCTCCATTCATTCCTTTGCTCGGATGCTCTAAAAAAAAAGCTACGTTTCCCTGATCTTTCCCTGTTACCCATTTGTTTAGGTTCCCGAAGTATGTTGTTCTGGGCCTTCCCCTGCCTCGCTTGCCCTCAATTTGCTCGCCAATAACGATAATATAATATGTGAGGCAACGTGGTGGAATCAAGCCGTCGTCAATTTTTGGGCGTGTAGAGCTATTCGTATCATCTTAAAGCTTGTTCACTTGTCTTTATTTGGATGAAAAAATATCCATTTATCTTGAATACAAGTTTAGATATTTAGGAGAGAAAGAGGTGGGGATCACCTGTTTTCAGAGGTAAAATTAGTGAGAAAATGGCCGCCAAAGAGTTGTTATTTCCTTAGTTTAAGAAACCGTGGTAACTGAAAATGTATAATTTTTGTGCCTTTGATCAACGTTTTTCAGAAACATCCACGCAGAAATGAGTTCTTTAATAGGCATGAAAGAGGTGTTGAGCCCCCCCCCCCCCAAAAAAAAAAATGTGATAAAAATTCACAAACCTGCGGAAAAATGCAAGTTTCTTCTCTTTGATTATTTTGACGAGAGCCTGATTCCACCACGGTGCCTCACACAATATTCTCCCAGGAGTACGCCGAGTTCATCGTGGGCTTCAAACGGGCCTGTGGCAGAGAGGGCTCGTCCCTGGGGGAGGGGCGTATCCGGACACGCCTCCGGCGCCTGGACCCCGCCCACTACAGGACGCTGTTCGACATGATCCGGATCACCAAGCCCCGCGTGGTGGAGATGTACAGGGAGAACCGGGGCCGTGAGAGGAAGGTCATCTCAGACACTTACAGGTCAGGATACATACGCTTTGGATTTGGGGGGGAGGATACGTACGCTTTGGATTTTGGGGGGAGGGGGGGTGGTGGAGAGGGCTCTTGTTCACATGTTGTGTCAGTCGTATTTTCAGCTTGAGTCGTTCCCGTTTGACGCTTAGAATCGTTCCTTTAACATTTCATCAAATCAGAAATGCATTCTTTGTGGGTGGTTGGCGGGTGCTCTGGTGTGGTCTGATCCTTCTTTCCTATCAAACATCAATCGTCCTGATCTCTCCTTCTTTTTTGTCTTTGTTACTCTCTTGTAACACCTCAAATCTTCTGGCGCTCATATGACCTTATGCATTGCGAGGGCTGTAAAACCTGTACTAAAACTACTAACTAAAAGTTGAGAGCAATCAAAAGTCGACGTGCCATTTACATTCCCCCGTGCCATTTACTTTCCTCCGTGCCATTTACTTTCCCCCGTGCCATTTACTGTCCCCCGTGCCATTTACTTTCCATCGTGCCATTTACTTTCCCTCGTGCCATGTACATTCCCCCGTGCCATTTACTGTCCCTCGTGCCATTTACATTCCCCCGTGCCATTTACTTTCCTCCGTGCCATTTACTTTCCATCGTGCCATTTACTTTCCCTCGTGCCATGTACATTCCCCCGTGCCATTTACTGTCCCTCGTGCCATTTACTTTCCCTCGTGCCATTTACATTCCCCCGTGCCATTTACTTTCCCTCGTGCCATGTACATTCCCCGTGCCATTTACATTCCCCCGTGCCATTTACATTCCCCCGTGCCATTTACATTTCCCCAACACACGTAGCCTGATGCTGCGGCAACTGGTCAACGGGAAGCCCTGGCCTCATCTACACACGGACTGCCGTTCTGCCGTGCTGACACAGCTACTGGAGGACTTGCAGGTTCTACCACCACTTTGTTCCGTTGCAGGGTTTTGTTTGAATTTTACTTTATTCTGATCTGTTCTGGTTGCTTTTTTTTCTCCTTGTTTTGTTGTTGGCAACAAGGCTAGAGGGCGACCGAGAAAGACCGGGATAGATGGAGTCAGGGAAACACTGGCAACTCACGGCACCCCCCCCCCCCCCCCCCCAAAAAAATAAATTAAAAAAAATTAAAAAATGCCAGCCCCCTTCTCTGCAATGTTGCGCCTTTTTTCCTACCATACATTTATCACCGTTATCTCTCTTCCTTTTTTTCCTTGCATATTACTCTCAAGTTTGACGGGTGGTTGACAGGCGCTCTGCTGTGGTTTGTTTGCTTCTTTCCTATCAAATATCTGTCGTACTTATCCCCCTCCCCTTTTTTGTATGTAACTCTAGTAACACCTCAAATCTCCGGCACTTCTAAGACCTATTTGTGTTGCGAGGACCGTCAACATCTTACTAAACCTCAAACTCTAACAAACAAGCGTTCAGTCACAGAGCGCCCTCTTATTCACATTTTTCAATGAGCCTCTCTTTGCTCAAACAAACCAGCGTACTCCATCAGCGTATGTGGCGTCGGTGGCCTAGTGGTTAGGCTACCGGACTCGTAATCGTGAGGTTGCGGGGTCGGGGGGTTAGAGCCGCGGGCCTGACGTTGTGTCCTTGGGAAAGGCACTCTACACGGATTTTGCTCACTTCACCCAGGTGGAAATGGGTACCCGGCCGTATACAGAGAAAGATCTTGTCAGTATGTTAGTGTTTTGGTGCCTATAAATGGCTGCGTGCACTGTATGCTTCCAGGAAGTTGAGCTTGTTTCAGAATGCTCTCAGGTCTGCTGGGGTAATAGTATAGATTGTGATACAAAAGCTATCTATTATTATTGTCCCAGAGCATTGAGATGGAGGATCCCAGCCGCCCCAGCAGCACCGAGCCCGACCTGTCGTGTTTCCCGCCACTGGAGCGCACCCATGATGATGTCAGCGGCGCTTTTGCCTGTGTGGAAGGGACCGGCCCGTCTGATGGGTGGCCGGCGGGGGGCAAGGTAGGACTTTTGGGGTCGCTTTTGCCTGTGTGGAGGACACCGGCCCGTCTAATGGGTGGCCGGCTGGGTGCAAGGTAAGACTCCAGTCATTCGGGGGTCATTCAGGGGTCGCTTTTGCCTGTGTGGAGGGCACCGGCCCGTCTAATGGGTGGCCGGCGGGGGCCACGGCGGGGGGCAAGGTAGGACTCGGCTCATTCATCACGGGTCATGCAGGGTTCATCTCCAGGTGAGTGGTTGGAGGGCGCTACTGGTAGGTCTTACTTCTTTACTTCCCCTCTGTTGTTTCTGTCTTTCTATCTTACTTTTTCCCAGCACTAAATTACCATAATTTTGCGTCGATGTGCTTCTCTTTACTCAAACAAACGAAGTGGGTGGTTGGTGGGTGCTCTGGTGTGGTCTGCTCCTTCTTTCCTATGAAACATCTATCGTCCATATCTCCCCTTCTTTTTTTTACATTTGTTACTCTCTTTTGACACCTCTAATCTTCTGGCGCTCATATGACCTTATGCAGTTGCGAGCGCCGTAAAACCTCTACTATTTTAAAGTTGATGAAACATTGATGTCCATGTTCTACCATTCAACCATAGAAAGTATGATCTATTTTTGTATAACAGCATGGGGCGGGAAAACAAGACAACAAGATAAAGAAAAATTAAATCGACTAATACGGAAAGCATGTAAAATTTCATCATCTACATTCCCCTATTCCCCTACTTGGATGAATTGTACATAACAGCTTGCTTTAAAAAAATTAATTCCGTCTTTTTAGACAACAAACATCACTTGTTCCCTCAAATAAAAACATCAGTTAGAAGTAAAAGACTTAGGCTTCTGATCTGTAACAAAGAAAGATATTAGAAGGTCATTTTTACCATCATTCATCAAAATGCTTACATCTTAACCATTTTGTATAAGTGTACTTACGACCTTAGAGCATGCATCAAAATAACGTTGAGTGTGTATCTAGCTTACGATTATTATTGTTTATATTGCTGCTCATTTATATTATGAATGTGATTGTAAGCCTACGTGTGTGTGCATGTGTGTGTGTGCGCGCACGCGCGCGCGCGCGTGTGTGTGTGTGTGTGTGTGTGTGTGTGTGTGTGTGTGTGTGTGTGTGTGTGTGTACACGTGGTAAAACACCAAACCAATGTGCCAGGATCTGGACAATAAAGGTGTATCTTACTAAAACTAAACTAAAACAAACAAACAACCTGGTCCCCAGGAGCCCAGCGCAGAGCCAGAAGGAGCGTTTGTTCCCCTGGACGACTGGGACTGTCGGGTTCTCGCCTCCTCCGACCTCGCCAGCTGCTTGTTGGAGGAGCTACACACTCAGGTGACAGTTGACCACACCCCCCCCCCCTAGAAAACATTGTAATTTTAGCAATGATAAAGCCGTGTGGTTTTAGGGCAAGTGTTTGTTTTAGTAAGAGTTTTACGGCACTTGCAACACAAGAAGGTCATATAAGTGCCGAAGATTAGAGGTGTTACAAGAGAGTAACAAACGCAAAAAAGGAGGGGAGATATAGACGATAGATGTTTGATAGGAAAGAAGAAGCAAACCACACCAGAGCACCTGCCAACCACCCACTAGGGCGAGTATTAGAGTCATTACATTTTGGCGTTGACAGTAACTCCCAGACAAACAAACCAACCTAAGAAAACAAAACAAAAGAATAAATCCAAAGCAAAACAAAGGCCAACAAAAAAAGAAGCCAAAAACTCCACAAAAACCAGCAACACAAAACAAAACCAGTCTCTCTCCGACCGACAAAACCCCCCACAATCCTCCCCCCCCCCCCTTTTTTTTAAAGGAATTTAGTTGGATATGTTCCTCTTGTCCTTAAAAGTGACCATATATTCTTTTCTTGACGTCCCCAGACCGGCGAGCTGCCCGTGTTGGACCAGAGCAGCCTGGACCGCGTGTTCCTGGCCCCGCCCCGTCCTGACGTGGCCACGCCCCTCCCCGTACGCCGTCACAGCGGTGGTGCTGGCGGTCCTCACAGCTGGCGTGGTGACGCACACAGCGCTAAGGGCGGATGCAGCTCCCGCAAAACTCCGGGTTTGTTTTGTTTTTATTTTAGTAGAGGTTTTTCGGCTCTCATTGTTTTTTGTTTCATTCAGGAAGCGACATTCCTGCGCTCCAGACATGTCCATTGATTGATGCTCCGTTGCTTTCCTCTCCAAAATGTCGCCGAGGGTCTTTCCACTGATCACCCCCCGGGGCAGTGCCACTGACTGAAGTGTCTTTAGGCCATTCCCAAAGGGGGGGACATTTCTCGTTCAAGCATAGTAGAATTGTAAATGGGCTGATTCATCAATCTCACGCTCATAACTGTGCCTGATCTACAACAGGGAACTGCTGCTTTTTCTTTCCTAATCCTTACTATTGTCATTTTCCTCT